GGTAGGACAGAAAATGACTTCTATACTTTTAAAATTTGCCCAAAATTTAGGAGGTCTTTAGACCGAGCCAACTATAGTGAATAAAAATTTCGGAAATTCATAAATTTGAATGTTTTTATTTAAAGCAACATATAAATATAAAAATTAATGACAATATTAAATGATAACATAATTAATAGAATCTGTTGTAAGAACATTGTTTAATAAATAATAATAACTAACAATTAAATTATTCTATAATATAATTTGCAAGAATAGAATTATAGCTAAAATCTGCAACTTTAATGGAACCACCAGCCATACTAGATGCACAGCCTATAATGCCAGTTTTTAGATTCGTAACTATAACTACAATCATGTATTGTGCAGGTAATACTGCTGGTACATAAACCCTCACTACTTGAGAAAATGGTGTTGCAGGGCTGGCTGGCGCCATAGTTGTAGCACCTATGAAACCATTAGTTGCAGGATTAAAAAAACCAACACCGATAAAGTCACCCTTGCCGATAGGACGACTTAGTGCTCCAGAAATAGTAAAAGAATCAAATGTTCCAGCAACGACAGGATCAGGTGAAAGTGTGACAGTAAGTAGAGGTGATGTTGCTTCTCCAGGTTTAGTAGGACATTCGACAAATGTTGAAGCTCTTTTAAGAAGTTGATGTGGAATAGCATTTACCACCATGGAGAGCGTAGCAAATAAAAGGAAAGCAAAAATAAACTTCATGATTTCTTTTTTTTATTTGTATATTTGTGAGAATATAATTTATTTGTGAGAATATATTTTATTTGTGAGAATAAAATTATTGATTAGAGTAAATCGAAATTGCTGCCTTTTTATAAGAAACAAAGTTACCCGGACTAATTATATTTTATATTCACGGAAAAAAATATCTGAGATTTCACGTAAATGAGACACCAAGCATGGTGAACACTGTTGCAGATCAAATGTGGCGAATGTGACAATTCAATTAATTTTCAATTGTTTTAAAATAGAAAAAAGGTGTATATGTGTGAAAAAAAAAAAACTGGTGTAGCAAATATTCGTTATTTTTATCTTACTGTTTGGTTAACCAAGAACATTCAGATTATCGTTAGATCAAAAGTTAGATATGAACTAAAGTTTAGGGTAAAATCTACACGTATGCGTACAATTTATTTGAATTTAAATATTTTGAAATTTACCAATCTTTAATTGAAGAAATCAAAAAAGACCGCAATGATAACTATAATAATAATCATAATAATAACACTTATCAAGTAACAGAAGACATTAAAGTATAAATATAATCATAATAAATTTTAATTATTTTAATAATTAAGATAATTAATGTTAACTTATTAATACCTCAATTATTTATTATAGAAAATTATTAAAGAGACATTTAGAAGGGATCTATTTATTAGGAAAAAATATCCTGCAGATGTAGATATTGAAAATTTTGTTCATAGAGTCTTAGTAAATTGCTTTCCAGAAGTAAGAATGTATAAAGACAAAGACAATTGGGAACAAGTCTGGTACAAGCTGAGAGGTGTAGTAAGTACTTACCTTAAACCTATCTCTAGAAAAAGTGTTGTAAAATTTTTAGAAAAATATTGATAGTTTTTTTTCTTAATAAACTTAGTCATTAAAATTGTTTAGAACAACTAGGAGTAATGCAATCAGACGAATTAAATCTAGCTTGTTTCAAAAATTTCGGAATTTAGAAGAAATCAATAACGATGCAATGATAAACCAAATATTAAAAGCATATATGATATTAATTATATTTTATTAAATTTTGTATAATATAAAGATGAAATTATTAATATAAAAGTTTAAATTGACAATGGAAAGACAATGATTCAACAAATGAGGCCCTTGACTCTTTATGTGAGATTGAAGAGGATGATGATATGACTTTCTTTGAAAATATCACAAGAGAAGCCTTTGCTGGTGATAGAGGAAAAGCAAATGGCACCAACAAAAGTTTGTATGGGCAATATTAAATGCTTTTCTTGGCACAGAAAATAACTCATTACATCTGGGCGAAAAAATGATTGTGCCGTAGCAGAGTGAGAATGTTGATCATGATGTTAGCAAATAATTTTTTAGTAATAAATTAATTCGTAACTGAGTAAGACTACATATAATTTTTTAATTATTTTAAATAAGTTACAAAGTAGACACCTACGAAACTAGCATAGCTCTTTTATATCTTCACATTCTGTTTAATTTTAGTTATCCCCAACTGGCTATTCTAAACATAACAAATTTTAATGAATATCTTACCTCCGTCGCAATATTTTCATAGTAGTAGCAGCGGGTGGGGTTCGTCAAAATCGACATCATCGACGTCATCATCATTTATTTTAATATGGTAAAATCTGAAGAAATAAGAAAAAAATTATAGAAATTAATCCGGAATAATAATGATGATGACGATAACGATGACAATAGTGATGAACCATCATTGTCGACACAAACAAGCATAAACGATTACTTTCACATATCAAAATAATTTATTGCTATTAATTATAATTAATTTCAATATGATTTTTCACTAATCTAATTTTACTTGGTGATTCTGAATCGGCAGAATTTTGTTTTTTGTTATTTGGAGAAATTTTCATTCAGAAGGGATTTAAATGACATTTTCAAAGCATTATTATCAGATATTTAGCTCTTAACTTTGATGACCATTTCTATTAACTTCTCTAAAAGGGGTTCTATTATTTTTATAAAATAAACTTGCCTTAAACCATAAAATTAACCAAACTTTATAAAAAATCCCAATCTTATCTGTCAATCATCGCCCTCTTCATTACATAATTCGGAATGGATTAAAGACGATACATTACTAAGCATCTGATTTTTAGGAATAGTTTGATAAGAACTTAAATTTCATTAGCAGGAACACCTAAAGTTGTTATTTGCATTATTTGATTATGTGTCGTTCACCAAGATCAATGTCACAATCTTTACAGATTTGTTTAATTAGATTATCAAGTAAATTTTTGTATTTGAAAACTATTTTCTTTTTAAAAGTTAACTTTATTTTCCATTTTAAGAAAAACACTTGACATTCACAATGAGCTGTCCTTCTGTTTTTATAATGTATTATGTCTTGTACAGGTTGAAATTTACTGTCGATATTTCGCAAATCCGTCCATTATTATCCATGTTACCAAGACCACCAGTACGATACTTTTACCTGGAAAGTGATAAAGTTATACTCTTGACAACCATTATAGCATTACCCAAGAATCTTTAAGTCTTTTAGATCCCCTCCATGAAAACTACATAAATATGAAGCCAAAAGGTTACTTTTTTTTTGTAGAGAGAAAGATTCATTCAAATTTAATGATGGATGTAATATTTCATGCTTTACTAATGCATCAAATTTTGTTCTTTTAATGTTATTGGTATCTTGAATTTATTTTATTTTACTTGACAGTGTCTGCCATAATTTTGGATTTTTAATGAATTTTCATCCAAGTTTGGTATATCTTGTTTATCTACTTAATAAACATTACTAAATTTATTATTATTTGTATTTACGCAATTGGCTCTTGACTACTCGAGAAGCAAAACCAAAAAACTATTCTGGGTTGGACACAACACCAAACTAAAGAACAAACAACACACATACTAATACGAACATGTATGCTTAAAAATACTCAATTTAAAGTAGTCGCTCACTTGTACATATGTGCAACTTTTATTAAATTAAAAATTTAAAGGTGGGGAAAAAATTGATCACGATTCATAATTATTAAACTATGTATTTTAATGCGTATAAAGTGAATTCTAAAAATAAATGAAATTAACAATATTTTGCATTGATAAAAAAGATAAAATAAAATAAACATTTGCAAAATATTTGTTGCAGATGATTATTATTAAATTCACACGAAATTTTATGATTCATTATTACTAAATTCAAGTTCATTCTAAATTTTGATTTTTTTTCCGGAACAAATGAACCGAACACTACTACAAACGTTACCGGTTAACGGTGGCAACCCCTAGAAAAATCTTCGTTTGATTTTTTTTTCATTCTACGATTAAAAATTAAATTAAAAACTAGTTTTGATTTTTGACTATTGACTTTTGATTTAGTATTGACATATAACTTTTAATTTTAGTTTTGACTTTTGCCTCTTCAAAATAGTTTTGGAGATCAACACTAAAAAGGACCCCGCAAACTTTTGTTATGTGGCTTGACTCAGACCAAAATTAAGTTTAATATATAATTTGACCCTAAGGTTTACAATAACATTAGAAAAAAGAACCATAATATATACTAACATTAAAAGTTTTGAAACTGTAAAATTAAACTTACCAATCAATTGATTTAACTGATAATAATTCACTGATTTTGTATTTGAAGAAAAAACTTGGTTGCACAAAATTTTGGATCCTAATATTGTTGCCCTGTCTATTTGCATACCGTATATTTGCATGATCTGTTCATTTGCATAAAGGTAATTCAGTCCCGTATCGGGGACTTATGAACTATTTGCATAACATAAACGTGCATTTGCATCCTGTTTCTACTATATAGGTCCCACTAACGTAAATATGCATATTCATACTATAAAAGAAAAGATCAACGACAATAATTTTATTTTTTATTCAAAAAAATCTTTAATATTGCTTTGTTTCATAGAATCAGAATAAATCTTTTTCGTTTCACATTACAAGATTTTTTCTGTAGTAGATTTGTTTCATTACTTAAAAATTTGGATGAACGCTTTAATGTTCTGGAAATTGTTGCCAGATCAATTTTTACTCCAAATTCTTGTTCGCACCAATTAATCAATTCTTTTTGGATCATTCTTGGACCATTTTGCTTTTTTAAACAAATTTATGACGTTTTTCGTTGTTTAATTTAGCTTTCTTCATTATGTATATAAAGGATAACAAAATAAAATAATAATGTTTGTGTAAAATCGGGTAAAAATCAAAAATTATTTTAATGAATCATGAAGCGATTTTTACATAATATGTCATGTGACAGTTAATTCGTCAGTCACATGATAACGCGAATATGCATACTCTGTCTATTTGCATAAAGACTCATTGGTCCCACCAGTATGCAAATAGACAGGTGTGACTGTAAATTGTTCGTTGACTAACAATAGATTTGATTAACCTTTTTGATATATATAATAGTTTGACCCTATTAATTTTTAATTTATTTTTGACCCGTATTATAATTACTGACAAAAAATTTAATTTATATATGAATTGGACCCAGCTGCGGCAGTAACCTATCTATGAAGTGTGAAGGGTCCTGCTGTAAATATATATTCGTTTAATATTAATATTAATATTAAGACTGAGACTTGATTAATATTCATATTCGGTAACGGAATCCGAATCTTCTAAACATTTGTTTCTCAACTTTAGTAAACTGTGTTTTTGGAGAAGGATGAGATCAAAATCGGAGGGTCAAACATTGTAACGAGTCGTTTTTTTCTTTTTCTGCTGAAGTGATTTGCAAATTGGATTTTAGAAATTTGTCAAAAATTAATATTAAATTTGAACAAAATCATTTTCGTTTTCCAAAAAAATGATGAATGGTTATCTTTACATGCGAATCCTATTACCATCTATTTGTTTGTCGTATTTCGTGCAACAGGAAAATTTTTGTTAAAAACGTCAGGTTGAAAAAGAAGCAAATGCTTGGCTGGAAATCGTGTTTCGCTCTAGATATTTTGTGTGGTGTCTAATGTTGTCTACCATCAGGCCTTCGCTTTGCTCTGACGTTTTGACCATTTGAAATGACCAGGAATGACAAAAAACTGATGGAATTGTCTTGGAGCCTTTGCCTAGGATCGTCAAAGACTTGTCACTCAACGTGTTAGCATCAATATTAACTGGTCACGAGACCGGGATTCAAAAAACTTTTTACGTTGTCAATTTTAATTATCGGTAAACAAACAATATGTACAAATTTTTTAGATGTATTGTGTTGAACAGGCTTACAACTGAGAACGCAATGTGAGCCTTGCTATGCGTGAACAAAAATTCATTTATTTTAAGTTGGGTTTGGATTGCATCTTCTTTGTCTCAAAAAGCAAAAAAATGACATCACTCGGGCCAAGACAATAGTCTATTTTATTAAATTCAAAACATTTAAATATATAGGACAGCCATCCCCTCATTTTTTTTGAAAAGTTTAAATATTTCCATGAACAAAATCAGATCTCTAAATCTTTATTATCATCCTCAAAAAATGAT